TGGCCCCATGAATATGGATGTGGCCCCATGAATATGGACGTGGCCCCATGAATATGGACGTGGCCCCTAACTAACAAATGGTTTTTGGGGCCACGTCCATATTCAAATTGCCAAGCAAAAGAAAACATAACTAGAAGAAAACGTCAATTTGACATTTTGTGTGGCAAGTTGAATATGGAAGCGGCCCTTAACATATGCTTATTTGCATGAAAAATAGATTAAATAGTCAATGAAAGTAAACTGAGTCTCGCGTTTACATCGGCTACAAGTGCCAAGCTTTCAGCTCACCCAGATTCTTTGAGTCATCAATAACATTCTCCAAAACCTGAAACACTGGAGTTAAATAGTGCAAGCTGGATATCCAGAGTTGAACAACCAATCACATAGCTTGAAAAGCACTATCATATAATATGCAGTGCTCGGGAGGTGGGTGGTGCTTTTAGCACAATTTGATTCATTGTTCACCTCCACTTCTGTGAATAATTGTTAAATCCACAACTGGTGTAATTATGCATATATATAATTTATGCAGTGTTCTGAGGACTAGTTCCAAAATCCAAAACCTATACCCTTAGTATAATAATAATAAGCCAAACTGTCTACCTACATACCACGATAGATAATTATACTCTAAAATTTGTTGTACAGTATCCTATATCTTTGTCCATTAATTGTTAAGGGGTTGAATATCAATCAATCTCGTTCCCAGAGTATGCCTGTTCGCGGGTTAGGTTGTGGCATGACCTAACCTGCGAACAGGCATACTCTGGGAACGAGATTGATCTGTTTTCTTCTCCTGTCACAGCATTCTCTAGTTATTGTTATATCTCTAATGTAAATGTATATCTTTTATGTGTGTGACATAATGAATAAATAAATAAATAAAATAATAATAAGACATTGATAGCATTTCTCATCCATTCTATCATGATTGTAAATTAAACCAGGTGCTGGTAAACCTCCCATGTTTGGTGACTATGAAGCACAACGTCACTGGATGGAAATAACATTTAGCCTACCCATAGAAAGCTGGTGATTATCAAATTCTGTTACTTGTTAATTGTTGTTAAAATATATTGATTTTACTTACACTATGTATGTGGAATTTGCTCATTTCAAACTCCCTGCCTTCTCGAACTTAAATCCATTTTATGTTTGTGGTGTTACTCCGATTGTGCATCCACACTGGGCAAGCTGAAAAGTTTGCCTGACCACGGTTGGAATCGAACCTGCGACCTTTGGGATACTGGACCTACTGGTCATTGATACCAACTGAGCTATCATATTTTAGAATATCATTGACATCGAAGGAACTAGATTCAGTTGCGAAATATCACGAAACGACGTGACCTCGTAGCTCAGTCGGTAGAGCATTGGACTAGTATGATATTATCCCAAAGTTACGTCATTCATGACGATTTTTTAACGATGATTTCCAACGTAACATATGTTACTGCAACCAAAGATCGTTAGAACTGTTAATAAATGGCACTCTTCACGCGTTAGAACGCATTAAAATGTGTATATCAATGTGCAATTTATATAATATTTAAAGTGCGTATTTTCTTACAATAGGTTGTAGACAGTCGGAAATATAGATAATTTTACCGATTCTGATTGTCTACTGATAAGGCAAAAATCGACCCGATGCCGATTATTGGTCAATCACTAAGATTCAGGGCATTAGATTGCATGAAACATCTACAATCATAAATGATTGTCCAGATATTAAAATCAGAGCTGTAGATGGTACTAGAAATCTAAATCACATATATTATATTACAAACATTCGTATTGTTTCTTAAGGTATGTTAATTCCACATCAAACGATCTCCAGTACTGGGGCTTGGACTACCCTCCATTGACGGCATATCACAGCTGGTTATGTGGCTATATGTAAGTTAAAGGCACAGTTCAATTTGTCACGTTCTATTAAACTGTAGAAATAATCTAGTCCGCTCTTACAGTTTTAATTTATTATTTAGTGCAAATAAAATCAACCCTGATTGGGTGAACCTAAATGCGTCAAGAGGATTTGAAAGTTCAGAACATAAACTTTTTATGAGATGTACAGGTAACTCAATGTTTAGTAGATTCATTTTTACTAAAATATACAAGGCTTCAAGCATCCAAAATATTAGAAAACATTGTGAGTACTATATATAGTATTATATGCCATAAATACCAGCCTGGGTCAAACAGTGTTTAACTGTGGCATGCTCACCCGCGGGTATATGTAGGTACAGTATAATCATGATAATCTTTCAGGTTAGGCTGCATGCATGCATGCATGCATGGAAGAAACGAAGATTTGTGTAACTACACCTTTAGTAAGCCAAATTTAGGGGTCGCCTGGGAGGCCTGACTGGTTTACCAAGTACCTCATGAAAATCGATCAAAATAGAGCAACACGACTGTAATACTTTATACCAAAAATTCGCAAAATCTAAATATATACCAACTACTCATAATTTCAATTCAATATAAATACACCATAAATATATACCTGAGTTAAAAAGACATTACCGTATACCCCAAACCCCCGGCCGACCCCCCCAATTTCTGCTATAAACCTCATACCAGTACTCCGCTTTTTTACATTTTAATTTTTTTAGTATTTTTTTCCGTTCGTACTGACCATCAAATTCGTCGTAATATTGAATAACTGCATATTGAAAAGTATACAAATAATTAACATAACAGTCTGCATGCATGGTTATGCATTTGCCTATAGGAATCTATCTTATAATATAATTTCATTTGTACATGTACATTTCTTTTTATTTTAGTTCTTGTTGCAGATGTGTTGATATATTTTCCTGCGATTTATTTATTTTGTTCTCTTTTTTATCAAAAACACTCACAAATCTCTCAGGTTAGTACTTTATTAGTTGAGTTTTGAAAACATTTCATTTCGTGGGTCTTCTAACGCGCATGCAACTGATACGTGGGGACCGTGGGGTATGCTAATCATCCTTCTTTGCAGCTGAGAGCTCAGCTCAATTACGCAGCTCAACCTGATCGAGTTGAAAGCTTTTAAGCGCGCTTCTGGCAGACACCTTATGACTCATGCATGTCTGATCCATAGAAATATTAGACCTAGAATGCGTGCTTGGTCACGTGACCGGTGTCCAAACTGAAAACAAAAATGCCCTTATAAATCCGCCATGTTGAATTTGAGTAGGAGTGCAAACTACAAAGTATAAACAAAACTAAAACTATAAAGTTTTCATCGTCAAAACGTTTGGTATTTGTAGTTTGGGGATAGAATTTGAAATATTAAGTTCTTTAAAGGCTCAAAGCAAATGTGCCGTTACAAAAACGGTGAAAATCGTGCAGCCTTGTATAAAAACAAGTAGTTTTTCGTGTAGTTTCGCGTATAAAATATAACTTACTCATAAAACATTTTTGCAAGCTCTGAACGTAACTGTTTTGCTAATACTTTATAAAATTACGAGATGATAGTTCATTCTTCGTCGGGTTTTGTTTTTCTTCAATCTAAACGAAGTGTTTTCATGTTTTTGAAACAAAAATATTTAGTTGTTGATATTTAAAACTGTAAATCGCCTAAATGATCGTCGAAAACATATGGTTTCAAAAGCGTTGCCTCAAGCTCAAGCAACGTATAAAAAAGTATAAAAAGTAGTTGTGTGAGTTTAAAAAGATTATTGAACTCTG